GGGCGAGGTGGGGGAGAGTGACTTCTTCTTCTGCTGCTGCGGAAGAGGTTGTTGGGGAGGAGGAGAGCGCTGCGCTGACGGAGGGGTCGGATTCGGAGGATGGTGACGAGTATGATTTTGTAAACGACTTCTCGCTTGAGGAGGCGGAGGGTTGGGTGCCGGTTATGGTGGCGGAGGAGGACCACGGAGACGACTGGATGTCGTTGACGGGCTCTTGGATCAAGATGGGGGATGCACCCGGCGATGTCAAGAAGGTTCAGGAGAAGGTGGTGGCTGGTTGACTGCTTGCTTGTCTTAATTAGCAAAGGTCGAGAGTTGACCGTCTAAACCGTTGAACAAATAACAAAGATGGGTTGGATTTGCTCGGCTATTGAGGAACTCAGGTTAAGAGTTGGCAGTGACTAAAATTGGTCCTGATCGATAACTAAATAAAAATAAACAGTAACCGCTTTGGATTCGATGGCCTCACTACCTGCTTGGGACAAAAAATCTACACGGTAGCGTCCCGGACTATACGTAGAAGTAGAAGTTCTTTCCCGCAAATATTCAACGAGGACCACCGCCCAAGCGGCAGTGGCTTAATTGGCACTGGCGGTGATCCTCCCGCCCCGGGTAGCCGTTCGCTGTGTAATTCCACTAAGGTTGCAGGTTTGAGCAATACCCGGGGCGAAGATTTAAGGGGGCTCTCCCCCTTAGATGTTTCCGGAGAAATCCCACCGGGGGTTTCGTAGCCAGCCACCTCCCTTCGGGGGGCCGGCCGGTGAGCTTTTGCTTTTTCTTCACATTGTTGTGCCCTCTCGTAAGGATTTTCTAGTGACTGTTGTCTGGTAACGCATCTTAGTCAGTCGAGCCAGCTTGAAGGAGAGATGAGAGGAAAGCTTGAAAACTGTTCTCCCGGACTTTGTGACACTTGCCTGAATGTTCAGTCCCTTCCTTCCTTGAATAGAGCGGCGGGGCCATGTTCGAGCTTGGAAAAGAGTTATATCTTCTCTGTTGATAGATACTTACCTAAGAGGACGGCCATTGCATACCAAAGACATCATGGCACTACGGGGTGTTGGAATCGATCACTAGTGACGACGAGGAACGGCCAACTCCTTGACTTCTCCAAGCTCAACGTCGGAATGTGAATCACCAACCCTGCAATCAAGCGGTCAAAAATCCCAAAAATTGATTATCAATCAAACTATTTCTGGAACTCCTGAAACCTGAAATGAAGCTTTGAGGGTTGACCCGATTCAAAACATGGCCTCCGCCAAACAAGTTGAGATCCAGATCTTCAACAAACGATCAACCTCACGATAAACCGGGGGTAGCACGGGCATATCACTGACAAGACGATCCGGGACGGGCAAGCCATGACGGTTGGAGAAAGCAATGCGAGCGAAAGCATCAAGCGCCAAAGAGGGCAGCGCGAGGCGGCTCTGCGTCGTCAGACGGCATGACCTTCTCGAAGATGAGCGATGCTAATCTGGGACAGCCGATGCAAGCCACCAATCCGGGGGACAGAAAGAGTGGCGCCTCGCTGCTGGTTCGCTGCTGGGGATGGTGCAGGTCTCGCACTTGGCCGAGACGGGGGACTGGGGCCTGCAGGGGAAGAAGGCTATCTCTGGAAATTTTGGGTGGAAAGGCATTGTGGGAGTCCAGATTCCCCTGGCTCGTGCAGAAACAAAATAACGGACCCTCAGCGGAACCGAACAAAAATATCCAGCCCGCCAGTAAGCCGAGCAGTGAGTCGGGTTGACTTGCCCCGATTCCCTCCCTGCCCCCCACTCCGCTCGGCAGACCGCAGGGCTGAACTGGATGGTTAAGGCCACTGTCGTCTCAGCCCTGTTCGGATAAGCTCGCCAAGTGTGACGGCACGGTCTTCTTCATCTCCACCGCCCCACAACCGTCGTGGCCCTGGCCAGTCATGGCCGGGTTCGCCAACACCATGTCACGAACTGACGGGGAAGGACTGCCGCTTGGCGATGGCCTGTCAAGCTCTGGGAAGGAAATCAGAGCGAGAGCCACATGGGGTGTGAGTGACGGGTGAGGACTGGGAGTGTTCCCGATATAAAATAGCATGGCGTCGCCCAGTTTCCTTCTCCTCTGTTCGTGCTCTCACCATCCCATTCATCCAAGACCGGCTCATCCAGCAAACAACAGCTTCAAGTCACTCATTTGCCTTTTTTCCGTCTTCAGCAGTCAACATTGATACCCGGCCTTTGCCAACCCGCTTGATTTCTTCTCCCCTTTGAACCAAACCTTCAAACACAACAATCCAACACAATGGCCGCCCCTCAGCAACAACAGCCCGCCGCCGCCGCCGGCCCCATCAACAACGATGACATCGCCGACTGGACTGCCCGTCTCAACGATGTGTTGGCCCGCCCCGGCGAGTACGTCAACTCCAAGTCACCGGCGACCGCACAGCCGTGGTACAACTCCTTCTTCGGCTGCTTCGCCCCGATCGACACCTGCCTGATGTCGTGGTGCTGCCCGTGCGTGGTCTTTGGCCGCACCCACCACCGCATGCGCAAGGGCGCCAACCTCGAGGGCTACGAGCCCATCAACACTTCTGTACGTTTCCATCGTCGTTCTTCCCTCATCACAACTTCAACTAACAACTCCCGTTCCAGTGCCTCCTCTTCTGCGCCTCTTCCTGCGTCGCTCTCTGGTGGGTTCCCATGGCCATGCAGCGTGCAGACATGCGCACCAAGTACAACCTCGAGGGCAACTGCATCTTCGACATGGTCACCGCCTGCTGCTGCAATTGCTGCCAGCTCGCCCAGGCCGATAAGGAGGCTGCCCACCGCGAGCCGCTGCTCGTCCAGCAGGGCTACCAGGCCCAGGCCGGCATGGCTTTCCCGGGGGCTAAGCAGTAATTTATTTTGAGGTTCTTGGTTATCGGTTATCGGTTCAGGAATGATAATGGGAAAAAGAGACGCGGACAGCTAATGTGGAGTGGATGATGCTTTGGTTAGCGGTGGTGGTCTCTATGGGGTCATAGTTCTCTCCTGCTCAGCGCACATGATACCTTTTCTTGCCTAAATCAAAAGTGCTTTCGAATCGGCTCTCACAAAGTGGAAGAAACGAATGTGAACAATCTCAAAATCTGCCAAACTGTCACAGTGATCAGCCCCTGACCCCGGCACTCCATGCCTTCGCTGCTCTTGGCACACTTAGCGTTGATGGGCTGAACAACCCCCTGTCCATTAATTTGAAACCCAGCACTTCAACTTGTCTGGAAGCGGCATCCACCCCGACAAGTGCAAGGTCCCAAACACGCCAGAATCAGAAAGTCAGACATTCCACAAACACCCAAACGGCTCGCCTCTGCGCCTCCCGGCCCAGGCCTTTTCTTGATGTGTCCGGGACCACCGAGACTTTGGGGGCGGCCTTGGCTTCTCAGCGCCTCGACGTCCCGGTCCCCTTGTTGCAGGGATTGCCAGGGAAACATGAATCACGGGCAGTCCGAACTGAAAGAGCTTAAGCTCTCTGATAACGGGTCTATTTGAGCGTCTGCTACCATAAGCTTGGGTTCTCGCTTGAAGAAGGGTAAATCATTGAATACTTACATGTAACCTAAAATAAACAAAAAGAAAGAAAGGAAGAAAAGAAAAGAACAAAGCCCACTAGTGTCTGAGAAAGGTTTTCAAGCATATAGTGCCAAAGTCATTCTGACAAGGCCTCATCCTTTAAGACCTAACTCTCCGACTTTCTGTATCGTCTAACCATTGTATTGTTTGAGCCGCCACTGACTTTTGCGCCGGCTCCCAGTAAATCTCGTCACCTAACTACATTCTCGAGTAATCAAAGGCTGATAAGGAGGGAACGGCAATGTGTGGAAACGCAAGTGGGATTAACTCTAGCCGCTATCATTTTCATAAACAACATCAAACTACCGTGTCTAACCCCACATACCCATTACGCCCTTCCCCCATACTGTTGGAAAACGACTTTCAGATGGAAAGATGGGGAGAGAGAATTGATTGATCTTCTTCCACCGCTTCTCAGAGTTCTTTAGAGCAAGTGGCTTTATCCTAAATCTTTCCTTTGTCTTCTTGAGTTAACCCGAGTCTTTGTGCTGCCAAAGTTCCATGAAACTGTTTCCGGGTGTCATGACCGTTTCCGGTGCCATGGCTGTTTCCGGTGCCATGGCTGTTCAACAGCTGGTATCAGCCAGAAAGTCCTATGTGGCTAATCCAACACATACAACTCCCACACACGAGCGAGAAGGCCCGCAACCAGCCGAGGCCAACCCCTAACCAGCCAGAAGACCCGCTCATGACACCCTGTGTGGGTGATATGAGATGCCCGATACCCGACTTCACTCGGGGACATGGCGCGGACCGTTCGGGCCGCAGTACAAGTAGTTGCACACCACAAAGGGCAGGACACCACAGTCGTCATGAGGGCACAGGTAGACCGAAGCGTTGACCTCTCTCCTGCAGTGGTAGCAGGTGAGCTGTTCTCGCATGATGGGGCCACCACCGCCGCCACCATCCGACCCTGTGTTCGTGGACGCGTGTGCGGTGGGTCCCGTCGCAGTCCGGGGACTGGGACTTGCTGAGGCTCCGCTCGTGGGCGTCCTCATTATGGCTGATGATGGTGGAGTTGGTGGTGACGTGTAATGTGGGTTTGTTGAGGAACCGTATGCTTAGAGAAACTAAACGCCGAGTCAGCTTAGGGCGGTCTTCCGCGAGCCGTGGGCTTGGCTGATAATCAGGAGCGGCTATGGTAGCCGCTTACAAGTTACTGAAAACGTATCGAACGTGTCCACAAAGAGAACGAATGACGGTTATTGGGTTAAAGAGCCTGTGGGGAAGTGACAAGGACAGTACCTCATGTGATTTGAACTGGTGGACGCAAACTTGGCGGTGCAAAGGGTTATCCACGAGCCGGGACACGGTCTTGAACGGCTTAATCTTTGAAGTAGCCCCTTCCTATAAGCCGTAGGGTAACCGCCTTCAAAGACAAGGGCCGTCGGCTACCACCCCAAGGGAAAGCGCGGGCTGTATGGAACGGGTTAGGGACTCCAAGCCGGCAACGTGCCGTTAACCACCCGCTGAATGGCCGAGCGACATCCACGAGTTGCATTTCCAACATGACATTCAAGTTCACCGTTTCAAGGCCCATGATTCACGTTTTGGATGGCTGGCTCAAGGTGCGTTGGCTGTAGTTTGACCGTTGGCCCAGCCGATTACCTACATGTAGGCGCCAACCCAACAACCGATGGGGTTGGCCAAACGAAGTTGGGTGATGATTAAGTGATTGAGAAATCGAAATCCGAAGGACTCGTTGTTAAGAACAGGTTAACTGGCTCACTATCACTAGGTGGCTACGATCCCACCTCCAGCATAGAATTTCTGTCGGCGAAGGTGACTTGCTGTGAGTTCTGTGTTTCGTACGAAGTATGCTTCCAAGCTGCCGCTAATGAGTGCATGAATCATGTTGTTCAGGCGAACCAGGCAAGGCGTCGGCCAAGGCATTGTATAGTGGGACTTACGGCCTCCAATGTGGGTAGGCACCTAGATATGTAAGTCACATATGAAACATAAACGTTTCTGAGGAAAACGGGTAGCTGCCAACCAACCTATAGCCTAGCACAACTGGTATATACTGGTGTCTCTTCCAACTTGGACTCCCTTTCAAATTCAACTACGATCAGACGCCCCTACCATATCTTTATTTCACTGTAGTCGTCCCCGGATACTAAGAGATTAAAGCTATAACTCAAAAGATATATATTTTTAAAAATACCTACTATTATCTTAGAGTGGTCTCAAAACAAATAGTATTAAACAAAATCAGTCCAACAATACCCTATCCCTCAAACACCTAGTTAGATAGTTTTCCAACTTTCTATATCCTTAACCCTTACATATATATTCCCTAACCCAGGACCAATTTCCATAGTAGCTCCCAGTTTCACTCGGTACCTATTTAATCATGGGCCGGCAAGGAGCGAGCAGCAATATGTGGAAACACAACTGGGATTAACTCTAACCGCCCTCATTTTGATGACCAGCACCAAACTGCCGTCTCTAACCCCACACACCCATCAAGCCTTTCCCCCATACAACTCAACTCGAACCAGCGAGCATACCCGGACCCAGCCGCGGCCAACCCCCAACCCCCAACCCCAAACCACAAGACCAGCTAATGGCGCCCAGGGTGGACGAGATGTCTAAAATGAGTGTGGGACATGGCGCGGAGCGTTGGGACTGCAGCCCGGGTATCCGCACGCCATAAAGGGCCGGACGCCGCAGTCCACGCCAGGGCAGACGTAGGTGGAGACGTCGAGGTTCATCTTGCAGTGCCAGCAGTTGAGCGGGTACCGCTGGTTGACGGGGCCGCCGCCGCCGCCGCTGCCACCACCCGACCTAGCCGTGGACCCATGCGCCGTGGGGGCCCGAGCATTCCGCGAGCTGGAGCCGGAGCCGGAGCTCCTGGAATGGGAGGCGGAGGTCCTGGAGTTGGAGCCAGAGCTGGAATACCTGGGGGTTGCGGTCGTCGACTTTCTCATGGTGATGATGGGCGGTAACGGTAGAGTTGATGGGAAAGTGTAATGTGGCCGAGGGAGAGTGTTATGTCTAAAGAAATCAAATATCCCCACGAGTCAGCCTTCTTCCGTGAGCCAGCTTTCTTCCGCGAGTTGTAGGCTCGGATGTGAACTAAGAGCGGTTATGGTGGCCACTTACGGGAAACGTGCCGGACGTGTCCACAAAGGAATAAACGATGTCTATCAGGTTGTTGAAGAGACTGTTGCGAAGTGAAGAGTGCGGTGATGTGGATTGAACTGGTGAATAAGAAAGCCTTGGGTAGCCGACGGCTCGACAACCTCTTATACTCGATGGCAGCTGTCGATGCCCTCCCAATGGTCAACCCAACGAACACTTACCATCGCTCTCGCTCGCCGATGCTTCTACTTTCCTTGTCTCAACATCGGCCGGACCTGATCCCGAATCAAACTCGGCCATCGGGCTACGCCGCCGGAGTTGGCAGACTGTCTGGGTCAACAAACCACGAAATGCAGGCGTGAAACTCGGTCAACTCAGGGGTAGAAGCCATGGGTTGAAGCAACCAGTTACTTGACTCCTCAACCAAATTGCCCCAAATTACAAGTACTTGGGTGCCAAATACACTGCAAAATAGACCCCCCCGGAATTGCCTCAACGGCGAAGTCCCAAACCAACGACAAACCCTAGGCCCCCAAGTAAGTGATGGGTCATGGTGGCTGGCGGGCGTGGTACCCGAGCGACAGACATGCTGTTTTTAGAACACGGCATTCAGGGTTGCCGTTTCAAGCCTCCAGTCCCAGGTCCTGCATGGTTGGCTCAAGGTGTGGTAACTGTATATAGTACACCGACGACCGGAATTCCGTTTGTCCATTCCGGTGGCTGTGATCCGACTTGTTGGCCTCGCTGGTTACATGTAATAGAAGGCGTCCGCCAAGGCATGGACGGCCCCCAATAATGTGGGACCCCGCATAGCGCCAGGCGGATGGAAGTCAGATCTGAAACATGAGCCTTGCTTCCCCATGTGAGGTCACTGAGGTGGCGCGGAAAGCCGGCTGGTACCAACCAACATATAAGTATCTCCGGACACACTGCCAATCCTGATTGCCCACACACAAACGCATTCCCAAGTGTCATCACAACCGTTCTATTTGACTCCTTTTCATCTACATCAACGCCCCCCGACACCCTCACTCACACTTCACTATGGTTGTCTCCGGCTACCAAGAAAAAGAGGGCGAGTCCCTCACGCCCTTCTACAACCTGATCACCACCAAAACCACGCAACTCAAACAAAGCGTCCACCCCTGGAGCCCAGCCCCCAACGGCCAACTCACCTCCCGCCCGCACAACGCCTCCCGCATCCTCAACGCCGCCGCCGCCCTCCGCCTCATCTCCGCCAAAACCACCATCCCCGTGCCCCGTCTCCTCGGCTCCGGCACCAACCCCGACGGCAACGCCTGGCTCGAGACGGAGCGCGCCCCCCACGGCGTGTGGCTGGACGTGGTGCGCGACCGCTGCCGCATGCCGCCCGGCAAGCGGCACGTGGCGGCGGACGACAGCGGCGAGTGCGACGAGTGCGACCGCATCGCGCGCGCCAACGCCCGTCGCTTCGTGGCCGACGAGGTGCTTCCGCAGCTGAATGCGTTGACGTCGGATGTGACGGGGTTGGGGGGCAGGGTGATTCCGCCGTTGTGGGTGGCTTTTCATGAAGGGGATCCGGGGTGGGTGCCGAAGAAGATGGAGGGGGGGGAGGAGGGGGAGGGGTATGTGTTTTGTCATGGGAATTTGCATGCGCATAGTATATTGATGCATGCGGAGACGTTGCATGTTTTGCAGATTGTGGATTGGGAGGAGGCGGGATACTTCCCCAAGGAGTTTCAGGTCTGGTCTGTGACGCGGGCGGAGTATGAGGCGTTGTATGAAGATGAGCAGCACCGGAAGAAACTGACGGCGCTCATGGTGTAGATGGGAGGGTCGGCTTCTTGGTTTTCTGTTCGATGTATGTAGTATTTGGGAATTGGAAGAATTGAATCTGGACAAACTCGGAGCACGGTGGGGGAATGTCAGAGGAGCACGAATTATATCAAAATTGAAACATGTCCTGTTACCCTTATTCTCAACCATGTCGAACACAAAACAATCTGAAATGACGCCCTGAGCCCACCCAACCAAAAAGAAACCCTAACGCCATGAACCAACACGAATACAAAAGCAAAAAAGTCACCCTGACACCATGAACCAAAACGAATACAAACAAAGCAAAAGCAAAATCACCGCCTACCCCCAAACAACCCTCCCAACGACTTCGAATCCTGCCTCACCCCCGGCGGCGGACCCGTGGGCTTAGACACCCTCTGCTGTTGCATTGACCTGGGCGTATTGTCCGCCGTCGGCCTCGCGTTCGGGAGAGGGGTGCGTGCGGGAGCGCCGGCCAGCGGGCGCTGGTGCGTGTATCGATCTGCTGCTGCGACTGCGGCCGCTGTTGCTGTTGATCGAGGGTTGCCGGTGGTGGTGGGGGGTGGTGGCGCCGCGGGATGGCGATACATGCCGCCTCCACCGCCGCCGTTTGGTGCCGGGTACCCGGCTGGGGTGGGCCTTGGGTTTGCGTTGGCTGTGGGGGGTGGGGGCTGCCGGGGGTAGGGCATGTAGCCTGACTGTGGTTGGCCTGCCTTGGGCCCGGTCGTTTGATGCGTGGGTTTTAGGAAGTTGAGGTCGGCGGAGGTGTAGATGGGGGCAGGGTTCTGGTGCTTGGGGGGGTTTGGCGGTAGCGCAAAGAGGTTTTGCCCGGGGGCGTTTGCCTGGCGTGGGTTGTGCTGGAAGCCAGGTTGGTCGTGGACGGGGGCATACGTGGGGCCAGCCGCTGCGTTCATTGCCAAATCCTTCGCCGTCTTCAGCCCGGGGGCGCCTGAGGGCTTTGCCGCTGTTTTCGTGGTCGGGTTTAATGATGGGTTCATTGCTGCGGGCATTTGCGGGATCTTGGTGAAGTCGTCGATGTGAGTCTGTGCTAACTGCGCCGCTGTCGGGCGCCGGTCTGGGGTCGCGCTCATCATGCGCGCGAGGGTGACGGGGATGAGGGTGTTTTGAGCAAAGGAAAGGGCCCTGGTCGGCCACTTCGTGTCCCATTGGTGAAGCGTCGAAGGAGGGTCTTTGTGGACGAAGTTGGTGCAGCCATAGGCGGCAAGCTTCCTATTCCAGAAATCGACGCTTCTTTTCGAGTCCTTGTAGCACCAGTACTGGAGAAGCTGGCCGAACATAATACCAAGGGCCCATATGTCCGAGGCCGTTGTCGGGGTATTGGTGCGGGCAATTTCGGGGGCGTTGTAGAAGGGGGTACCGCCGCCCGGCGTCTCCTTTTTCATGGCGGCTGCGGTATTGGACAGACCAAAGTCTCCGAGAAAGAAGTTCACATCACCGCTTCCATGGGCATGGTCATACATGATGTTCTGAGGCTTGATGTCCCGGTGGACTATCCCTTTTGCGTGGAGGTATTCAACGGCGGAACACATCTGGACGACAATGGTGGACCAGAAAGCGGGCTGATGTCTCCCCGCACCGTCGCACGAGTGCTGGGGCATCAAATCGGTTACGTTACCCCTATATAGTCCGAAAAAAAGTTGGAAACGACCGCCGATCCGGAAGTCTTGGTAGGTCTCGAAATGCACAATGTGGTCCTGCAAAGATGGTCAGCGAATTCAGTCTTATCTGCGGCGGGATGGCTTTGCTCACATGACGGAGTGTTAGGAGGAGCTCGACCTCGGCCAAAAAGCACTGTTTCCAGTAGTCGTGAGCTTTATCTCCCTTGATCTCTTTGACCGCCCACAGCTCGCCCGAAGACAGTTCCACAACTTTTGACACTTCTCCAAACGTGCCGGAACCCAACACGCCGTACTTGTGGATGGACCTATTGCGGCCGGCGAGGGATGAGCCCCCGGAGGGGGTGTAGCGGCTGCGGAGCTCGCGGGAATGGTACATGGGTGGCGCGAGTGTATCCTCGTCTGGGGCGGTGAGGGTCATGCCACGCATGTGGTGGGCGAGTGCCTTCCCGGCCAGCTCACCCTGGACCACAAAGTCCGTCATGTCCGACTCGCCTTGGTAGGTTCGAGCCCATGTGAGCTTGAAGCAAGTGGATGTGCCAAAGGTAATGTACATCGTCCTGCTGGTTCGGGGTATGGCTCGCTGGCGCGGATTCTTGCCGTGAAGGGCGTACAAATGCGCCTCGACAGGGGTGGAATTCTCAAGCTCGATGGTCGTCAAACAGGGCGAAAGATCGCGGAGCATCAGCTCGCCGGATGGAGCAAGAAAGAAAAAGAAGTGGTCGTTGCGATAATTTCCATAGCTGCGGGCGCGTCTTGCCCCGTCAGCATTGCGGCCATTGCCGGTCCTCGGCCCGGGGACTGGGGGTTCCGACGGTAGTCGGATGTCGTGAGTGTCATTCCGCCCAAATGACAAGAGCCGCCCCGGAATCTTGGAACGACGGTCGGCATAGCAAGCGAGAACTCGCACCCCGAAGTGCTGCGTCGTATGGTCGGGATTCAGGGATATGATGGCTTCCGCCTCGTCGTCCATCGGTATGAGGACGAAAAGCAGATCCTTGGCGGCCTCCTTTTTGGGTGCGGGGGCACGGCGTGGAGGCATGGTGATATTGGTGGAAGAAATAAGACGAGAATGGGCTTGGAAAAAAACAAGAACAGAAACAGAAATGGAAGAAATGCGAGGCACAGTAATTGGATGGGAATCATGGGATTGAAAGGTCTGGTGGAATCAAACGAGGCGGCCAGCCATGGGACTGCCTGTCTTATAGCCCCCGACACCCTGAGTTTCCAAAGAGCTGGTTTGAGGATATCTAACCCCAGTGTTAGCAGATTGGGTAATTACCTCTAGGCTGGAGGGAAGAGGCCTGGCCTCTGAGACCCGGGGTCGGTCCACCCTCCTCTTCCTCCTCCTCCTCTTCGCTGGCGGGCGGGTAATTGTGTCATGTTTTTGGCCCAAGGTGTCCGTCATTCGCTTGTGCAGGGTTGACGGGAATCTGGAGATCTGTGCAATGCGGTTTGTCACTCCTCAATCGGGGAGAAAAGCCCTGGAAGGCGGCAATAAGCGGCCGTTGATGTTTGATCCGGACTGTTGGGTCTATGTACCCAATCATCATGGAACTCAACCGCCGGAATGGCGCGCTGGTGAAATAAGGCGGATACACACCGTGTACTACTCGAGTATAAGATTGAGAGTAACATTAGGAATCCTGGGGATCGATGTGACCGTGTTTAAGCGCGCGGGAGGTTGAGTGGTGCCCGCCAAGACCTTGGGCCTGCAAGATGCGGCCGCGGGCGCTAACAGGAAGGAACACAAAGCCGTTTCCGCGTTGCAGCACGCGGGGTGCGGCTGGAATCCGTCATTCAAAACATTTTGTCGGCACTCGTCATCAATGGCATTGTTCGGTCAGGGGCTGCGATAGCGATACATTCTTGACGAGACTGTAGCTTTTCTGGCCGTGATTCTTCCATTCTTCACTCGCCATAAACCCTCATTCTGAATTTTTGCGACATGTCTAGCGGTGCGCCATCACAGAAAGGCGCTGACGATGCCTCGGGCGCTCCTGCGCTGACCCGTCACAATTTGAAAAGATTCAACATACACAAGCGAAAAGAAACCGCGCGCCGGAGAGGCCGGTCGACTCCCTCGGCGTCGCCCGACTTCCATAGTTATTGCGAGACCGTCTCCTCTGCTGATCTCCCCTCTCCAAGCCAGAGGCCCACCAGAAGAATAAAAAAGCAAACTGCTTCCGAGTTAGCTGCCGAGGAGGCCATGTTGAACGCCTTGTACGACGCCCACCCTCGTGAAAGGCCCGTTGACCCTCTGCATGCCTTGATAGCACAAGGGGCTTCCGGCAACAACGGGCAACCTGACAGTCCCCGCCAGGCCGCTAGTGTGTCAGCCGGTGTGCGAGCGAGTGTTTCGGAGGGCGCGCAAGGAAGCATACCGGAAGGCGGACCAGACAATGGCGCTCCTCGACAAAGTATGGCCGATGACGCGGCTTCGAAAGTGACTTCGCACTCAGGGCCAGCTAGACCTGTCACGGACGACGGCCCCGTTCCTGCGGAATATGACAACGGCCATCCAGAAGGCCAGTATGACAACGGGCATCCTGCACGATATTACAACGGCTACCCTTCTCATCATGGCTACCCTTCTGGGCAACTGTGGAGTTACGCTCCCCCTCAACCCGGCCTGCCGACTGATCGGCCTACCATCCCTCGCCAACAGCCCTCGGACGGCTCTCCCGGCAACCCGGAGTCTCGGTTTCCCGCCAACTTTCCTGCGTACCACTGCACCCAGAACATGAACGAGATAGCTGCGTATCTGGCCAATGCGAGTTATGTCGCTGCCCTCGGCGGACCCCCTCTCGCCGACCTCAAGTACGGCATAATCATTGTGCCGGCTGGTGAAGAGAGGCTGCTGTTCGGTCCCCCGTCCCAATCCCTCCTGAACCAAGATTTTATCGATGCCATCGACGATGCCAACCGCGACTACGACAGGGCGCTGCGCATGCACGACCCGGACAAGGACAGCGAGGAGTTCGTGCGCTCGCGCTTTGACGACGACTTTGCCTCCGTGTCAGCTGCAGCCCAACAGAATGTTGACACCACTCTAGCGGACGAGAGGGGCGGGGAGGATAGACGCGGCGCCAAAGACGATGATTCTACCACGGCAGACGCGGAGGAGCCGCAGCCGAAGAGGCCACGGCGGGGTCCTCAGCGGAAATCGGCTCGTGTCAACGCTCACGAAAACGCCAGCGCTCGCAATAATGTCGCCTCATCCGGAAGAGCAAGCATCAGCCCCAAGCGAGTCGCGCCCGCGACGGACACGGTCGAGCCGCAAGGGAAACCGAGAGCTAGGCGTACCCCGAGGGCAACTGGCAGGCGAGCCGACAGCCCGTCGAAGCCAGCCGCGAAACGGACACTCAGGGGAAAGAAGTGAGGGACGGCCACTGCTAAGCTTACGAGGAAGAGCGCCCAAACGAAATTATCACGGACGGCACCCGCAGCGGTCCTGGATCGCGAGAGAACGACCGTCGACTGCATAGGCCTTGTCATGAGACCTAGCGAGGGCTGTCCACGGGGTTTTGGCCAGCCTAACTCGGCGAGGAGCAAGGCTAGCGGTCGACAGATCGTGTGCGCTACGCTTGAGGATACGACACCGGCTAGCGTCAGGATAATCCCCTCTGCAGAACCCCCCAGCGTGGTTTTTGAAATCGCACGGGAGCAAGATGCTGTTGAAATGCATCAAACGAGGGATCTGGCCGCGGATTAGGTTGTTCAAGCCGAGACGGGTCACGGGTGTGTAGATGGCGCGGACGTCTTGCTTGGAAAGTCAAAGAGGCGGGTGCAGGAAATGTGGTCATATTAGCAGAGGCGGGGCTGATAAACAATGGCCTGTTTATTGCGGCCGAGAAGGCGGCACCTTCAAGGGATGGCTCAAAGGGAGGAGATGATTGCGGAAAGCAGAATGGAATGTTGCAATCAGATACATCGAGAGACCAAAAACAACTCAGCTAGTATTTTTGGTTACTTTGTGCGAGGCCGTGATTGATCATCGGGGACGTCCAAATCTTGTGATACCGAGTACCTATCAATCAAAATGAAGGGGTATGGATTGAATTATTCTACCAGGCGCTACATGTACAACCGGCCTTAGCGATGAAGTCATCTGCAGTCTAGCGATGACCCAATGGAAAACCGGTTTGATCCTGACTCCACGACTCCGCACCTTCAGCCCCGACTACGGAGCTGCCAGCCGCTTTCCACTCACCTCTCAGCTCGACATCATCCCAACTCTCCATTTACCAAACACACCACTTCAACCCTCACCTTGAATCACCATAACCCCGAACCAAATCAGACAAAATGGCCGGTTCTTCTCTTTGGCTGCTGCCTCCCGAATCCCGTACGTCAACCCATTTGACATATCCCCCGTCCCCACCCCCTTTTTCCCTGCCGCCCAACTCCCACCATCACTACCCTCCGCCCCTCCACCACCACTCCCTATCATAATCAACGCAACCATCCCACCCCCTTGTCCTCCCGTCCCATAAGGATGCCCCGTCAGCATCACCTCCTCCCCCTACTGAACCCCCAAACACACGCCTTCAAAGAATTAACATAATCTCACCCCAGCCGCCGAGAGGAGCCAACTTCATGACCTGCTTGAAAGACTCTAACAACATCACCCCTT